TTGAAGACGAGAGTTGGGATAAAAATGATGATGATGAACAACAAAATAGGAGAAAAATTCATAGGAATAGGTAATTATTAGAATTATTAGGTTATCCATTCGTCTTCATCTAGATGTATTGATTTTTCTTTCTGTATAGTATATGTATATATTATATATATTTTAGATACTCAAGAGAGGAATATAAATGTATAACATGTCCATATACTTGTACAACTGAAAAAGCCTTTATTCATCACCTACGAAATTGCTGCGCAAAACAAAAGGATGATGTTCAAGATAAACCATTAGAAATATCTTGTCCAATTTGTGGAAAAGATAGAAAAGGGGAAGAATCAATGACTATCCATATGAAAAAANGATAAACCATTAGAAATATCTTGTCCAATTTGTGGAAAAGATAGAAAAGGGGAAGAATCAATGACTATCCATATGAAAAAACATAAGGACAACAGACATTTTTGCTGTGATATTTGCAAATTTAAAACTCTTCAATTAAAGAAAGTAAGTTAAGGACCTTCTAAATAAAAAAAAATCGTATCTCAAAAACCAAATAAGATATCTTAATGAAATAAGAGGCATTTTACCACAAATTTAATACAGATTTAGTGTGCCAAAAAAAAATCTCGTTGTTATGACTATTTAAAGCCAACTCTGTACCTTTAACTGTTATATTTATGGGAAAGATTTTGTTTTCGTTTCCACAAATAGCGCCAAATCTATATCTTGTTTCTGGATGTACTTGAAAATTAATGTTTTCATCTTACTAAGGCTGCAAATGTTGGAAATGCTACTATATACTATGTTTATGTGCTGTTTCGTTTCTTTGTAGTCAGTCACGTCAAATGGTCTTATATTTGTTAAGTGTGGTTGCTGCAGGTGTCCTAAAATTGGTTGCTATACAGGGTGTCCCGTTAAGCGTACGGAGCGGCTGTATCTCTAGAACGGTAAGGCCTAGAGGTTTGGGAAAAAAATCCTTATAAGCAAAGTGACCAAGAGAAATAGCTGGAAATTATTTTGAAGTTCGTAATTCGACCGCTAGGGGGCGTAACTGCCATTGAGAAACATAAAGTTCCCGCTATCTCAGAAACTTAGACGATGAGCTATAACTTTGACAACATCATTTAATAGCTTGGATAATACCGCATCGCTTTTGTTTTGCGATATTTCTCATATCTGTCATAATAAGGGAGGGGGA